TACTACTACTACTACTACTACTACTACTACTACTACTACTACTACTAGCACGACTACTACTAGTACGACTACTACTAGTACGACTACTACTACTACTAATATTAATAATATTAATAACAATAGTAATAATGCTAGTGCGACGACTACTACTAATACTACTAATACTACTAGTGCTGCTGCTGCTACTACTACTATTATTATGATGATGATGATGCTGTTGGAGAATTCTGTTGCGTGGCTGTCTCTATTCACTCTCCCTCAGTTCTTTGCAGTTTAAGATCCCAGATCTCTCTTCCCTTCCCGAAAGCGGCCTCACCAGAGAGCCATGAGCCACACAGGCCTTTGGGCCAATCCGAATCTCTGAAGCGCAAGATCTGCAGCCAATGCTCTAAGCCAATCTCCTGGCGCTCTTCAACGCATGGAGACGCCAAGAAACACTGTCTGTCTACTCACCAAAGATCTGACGAGAAGTTTGGACTATGGCCACCAGTTCGCTCATCAACCAAACTGGCTGTTGCAAAAAGATTATTTTAAAAAAAGGCACACGCCGATGAGAACCTCCGATCAGAACCCGGCCTTAACTACTACCGTAAGATCCCCTAGTGTGACCACAACAGTGTGGGGGAAAAAAGAGGTCACCTCCAAGCCCAGCGCTGAAGTCGTTGCCCGCGCCCAGCGCTTTCCACAGCTCCGCAGGAGCAGTTCTGCCGGCACCAGCCGTGAGGCGCCCAGCGCCAGACCGCCTGACAGGGTCTGTCTGTGACGGACTTGGAACCGAAAACTCCTTGTGAAGACACAAATTTCACCTGATCCGAACTCTTCAGTGATTTCACTGATCCTCGTGAAGACACTGAAATGCGGGGGTTGATCTGGGGGCGGCAGTTTCGTGGACATCTCTTCAAGATTTGGCATGGTGATTTGGACGTCTCTTTTGGATTCGTACATGAATGGTGATTGATCTCTTGTGGGATGGTGAAGAGTCGTGGGCCAGATGCTTCAACGGAGCAAGAATAGGACGACCCTGATTTTGGAGCACCAATGCTGCAATAGCTTCTGGACCCCTTGACCACCTGACCAAAATAGACGATAGGATTTACTCCCACGGCGTGCCATGCCTCCTGGTCGCAACAAGCAATTCTCGGGTAGATCCAAGCCACCGTCCTCTGCGATTGTGACGTGCAGCAAACTCTTGGAACAATTCAAGGCATTAAATGAGTCTTGACGGCTTAAGCCACAATGATAGGGCAAGAAATAGGCTGCAAGTTCGGCTTCAACAATGATGAAAAATGAGCTTGCTTGCAATAGCAGCTTCCGGAGTTCCAGGCGCATGAAACACATCCAATATCTCTTCCATGGGCCGGATCGAAGGTTACATTCCACTTGCCCCCACTTGTAGCCTCCAAAGGCACACAGGCGGTACCATGCATTTGCTCCAGAAGACCTAGGTCTTTCAGAACGCAATCCGAAGACGTTGAAGAATCTCGAAGTCGCTCCTTGCCTTCTCCAAAGCAATATGCCAGTGTGGAGAGGCAGGTTATCTGCTCATATAAATCCTGCACAATCCACTTCCTTCAGTTCCTGCCTGCCCTGGAACGACCCTTGGACCGTGTTTTTTTCTCTCAGGACGAGGTCACGGGCATGGACTGCTTGCCAAAAAGGCGAAGGCTCAGCATGGCCCAGAAAAGCCAAGGCATGCGGCGCCAGGGAAGGATGCCTCATGTCCACAGGATAGACTGACCTTCTATTCCATAGGGCTCCATTGGATCAAAAAGCTGTGTGAATCAAACGTTCCTGCTCTCTCATTTCGGATACCTGTTGTCGCACTCAACCTGGGGCCCAGGGACAGTAGAAGGGATCCTTCCTGAAAGCTCAGTCTCCCTTTAAGTGATCTTGTGCACTTTTGCAGAGATGACTTACCAAAATCTGTTCAATTTGAACAAGACACAGACAGACAGACCGACTGACCGACCGACCGACGGACGGACGGATGGACAGACGGACGGAGAGACAAACAAAGAGAGAGAGAGAGAGAGTGAGAGAGAGAGAGACAGAGACAGAGACAGAGACAAAGACAGAGACAGAGACAGAGACAATAGAGACAGAGACAAAGACAGAGAGAGAGAGAGAGAGTTGCTCCCAAAGGAACTTCAGGCACCACCTCTCTGCATCCAAAAGGCATCTCCAATGCGTTTGCAAAGGCATGGGGCAAAGCTTCACAAAGCACCTGCGAAGCTTTGCGATGCTTATCAGTAGCCGCGAGGGAATGAGCACAGTGTGCATCAGCAAGATGTTCCAAAGTCCCTTCTCACACTTTGAACGCACTCGTGATGGGTGAAGTTGCAAAAGTATCCTGGGTTGGTGGGTTGGTGAAGCGAATCACAAAGCCAACTTGTGCTTCGGTAGCTCTGCCAAGAGGAAGTTGGACATGACCCGCCCAGTTTACCGCAGGATTGCGCCGAAATGATGACTGATGCAAACATCAAGACTCTCTTTTGCTGGGTCAAACAGGCAACATGGACCTTCATCACTTGGCACCGCCTTTCCTCTTCAGTGACACCCTCTTGGCCTGGTTCCGCCAGCTGCCCTCATGCAGGTCACCCCTGCTGGCAATCAGCTCAAACGGGCCATCAATGCAAAAGGCGAAGCCGAGATTCCGCACTGGCAGCAAGCAGTAGAGGGCCTCCATTGCGGCGGCCACAAGTCATAAAAGATTATATGATTTGCACATGGTAGGATGGTATGAATGTCTTTGTGAAGTAGATTGGCAAAGCACCCAGAACAAACGCAGGAAGACTCAACCTTTGACAAAATCGGATTATTCAACTTTTCACAAACTCATATTGACCTCAACTCAAACATTCAAAGTCCTTTTTTGGTCAACGAATCTCTTCTCCTAGATTGGAGGCTGTTGTCATTGGCAGGAACTGCTTCTGTCAGTATGTCCTTCTGGTTCAGTCCCGCCTGAGGCATCAGCTGTTCCCCGTCCTGGGGATAAGAGCCGGGGGTCAAAGCGCTTTGAGTCGCTATTTTCGTCGAGGGATGTGCGATTGAAAGTGTGCCATGCACACCGAATCAGGGGTCCCTTCGGTGCCGATTTGGCCCACTCTGGATTTGAATCTCCCCACTCTGATGGCCAGCAGCAACTCAAACACCGTGCCATCCCGATCACCCTCTCCTCAAACAAGTGCCACGCTAGTAGTAACAGGTGCCTTACTAGTAGTAACAAAAAGCTATTAGAATTGAATTAACTAATAGCTTCTTGTTACTACTAGTAAGGCACTTGTTACTACTAGTAAGGCACTAGTAAGGCACTTGTTTCTAATAGCTTCTCACCGTGCCATCCCGATCACCCTCTCCTCAGCAATTGGAAAGGCCAGGGTGAGGCACATGTCTTTCTGCTCCCACGACACTTGGTGGTGGTGCAGCAAGAACGTCCGCCACGAATCTCCTCCTGGCGGTTCTTTTTCATCGCTGCCCAAGCTGCTGGGTGGAGTGTACGGGCTTTTGCCAGGGTGAAGCGACTCAGATCTCTCCAAAATCTTGCGATACCGTGCGGCAGAAGAATCGGTCTCACATGCCAAGCTCAATACCAGCTTGGCTTGCCATGTGGAAGTGGGATCTTGTCAAGCACGCTCACAGTTTCTGCATGTGGAATTCGGCGTTGGCGTTGAGATACAGCCCTCCACACTTTTGGGTGGAAATGCCAGTTTCTTGCATCTATCACCCAATCTTGTTGCCCTAAGTCCTTGTCCGTTCGACGGAGGATGCCGTCACCGGTCAAGTGTTCCACCCCTCCGCCCCGAAGCGTCCTGCTCGGCTGGCCCGCACCGCCTTCCGGCCAGGTCCATGGACCTGAGAGGAGCCAGGTTTGCGCCAGGGGAGTTTTCGTTGAAGGGTCTTTGAGTCAAGTTCTCCAAATGATGGTGACTAGCTTGAAGAATTCCGAGTCATTGGAAGCTCTGGACTTGCCGCCAGGCCGGGCCTCAAGACTGAAGCTCACCCAGCGAGCGTCGAGGCTCGTTCGCCGATCGTCGCAGGTCGGCGAGCGGGGCGTGGACGGCGGAAAGCGAAACTCCAAGCGTTGTAGCCGTCGCAGAAAGAGAAGACATGGCAAATGCTCCTGGAAGGAGAGCGGAGATGTCTGGAGCTTCACTGACTAGGGTGGAGGCCATCGCTAGTAGGTTGGAGGCCATCGCTCTTCGGTTGGAGGCCATCATTACTAGGGCGTTACTAGGGTGGAGGCCATCGCTACTCTCTTGGCTATTGTAGTCTCTTCGTCTTGGAGTTTGGAAACACTGGCGGCCGGAGCAACGCACAGCGCCAAAAATTCCGCCACACACAAACCTGTAAGGGACCCAGGGATTATCAAACGTCTAAAAACTTGCAGCAAAGCATCGTCATGCAACAACCTGCATGCAATGGATGTTCAGGACTTGCGACCTTCCTGTATGTACGTAGCTTTTCCCACCAGGGACACTCAACAAACAACAGTTTTGCTCACCTATCCAACGTCTTGTCCCAGCATGGTGAATCGAGCAACCTTTCGTGGTAACCCTGTGCCGAAACAGCCTCTGCCTACTTCACAAAATACCCCAGGCCGTACAAGGTTCTTTGACGGACCGAACCTTGACTACCAAGAGGCACATCTCCTTGAATTTTCCAGCCGCCCTCCGCGCAGTTTCCACACCGCCCTCCGCTCCGCACCTCTAAGTCTGCCAATGCCAGTTCTACGCCCTCTTCTGTGCCCGGCCTGCCCAAATCACAAGGAAGATTCTCCGAGAAGCTGACTGGAGCTTTGGCATTTTCCCCTGAAAACTGGCTACAAATCCCTGGACCTTCAATCATGGTGCTCGGAACGGCATCAACGAGCGTCTCTTACTCTCAGGGATGTGAGATTTCGAGCGTTTCGAATCGATGGACCACTTTCTGACCCTCAAGGAGATAATCCTTCTTGCCCGTGAACACCGAGCGTCTGAATTCTCTGAGAGGCTCACCTAACCTCTGTTTTGCTGTGTTCGAGGTGGTTTTGAGGTGTTTGACTGAAATCTCCTTAGATCCTTGGTATGGCCAATTCGTCTGCACCAGCTCAACATTTAGAAAATGAAGTGACCAGTTGGGGGAGTAGAGCCTCGAGCCCTCTTTTAGGTAGGCCTCTTTCGGCGAATGCAATGGTGAGACCACCCCAGGTTGGCCGCGGTGAATGCCCTTTCTTCTGTATCTCCCGATCGCTCCAAGACCACCATCTGCCGATGGAGTCTTGGACCGATGGCTTTTTAGATCCTTGCGAGCCGTTCGTAGCTTCTTGTTACGTTCGGAGCGATGGCCTCCAACCTACTTGCGATGGCCTCCACCTGATAGCGTCCTTGCTACTAGTGACTTTTTGTTCTCAGGATTCTCGGAAAGAAAAAGGCTATAAAGTCATACAAATCGACAGAGAACATCCAATTCGTTTGACCAAACAGTTTCGTTCTACCGTCCCGTCCTCAAGGGCAAGTAGGTCACAGTGTAGCCAGCATCGTAGGCCTCCCAAACCTCTGGCGGAAGCTGGTGGAGCTCCTGGCAGGACAGAGACAAGAGATTGCGCCTCAATGCTCCCACCGTGTTCCAGGAAACACAAATGAAAGCTGAAACATCAAAGGTCTGGAGCCGAGACTGTGCTGCGTTGTCCTCACATTTGGTCTCCATTGATTCTCCCGAATTCTCCAAAAGCACAACGACTGTGTGCTCTGCTGCTCTCTTGGCCTGAGGGCCTCAAGCATGACATGGATACACCTGGATTCGTTTTGCGTTTCCGGGTGCCAAGCAGCACGTCTTCCGAGTCCCCTCCTCCTCGTGGACCCAAGTGGGTGTGACATAGCCCATCTTGCCCAACTTCTTCACATCAAACTTGAAGGTGAAGCTTCCGGAAAGCATGTGAGGGCAATCAGAGACCTGGCCACAACAGAAACATAGCACGATTTCCCATGCTTTCTTTGGGTCTCTGCAAGATATATCCTCTTATCTTGGGGATCGCTTGAAATGCACTTCCAGAAACACCCTTTCCTGGACTTGAGTGAACCCAGCAAAGTGCTGCATGTGGAGGGGCCCACCTATGATCAAACGGGCGGATCTGCAGTCGACCCTCCAAAAGTTTCTGATGCCGCCAGATGGAAGCAGCCACAATCTGCAGCCAGAACCAAAAACTGACTAGTGCTTATAGTACAGAATGAGGGATTGAGACAATAGAGATTCCTTTGGATCCACCTACCCTCATTCCTACTAAGCACTATAGTCAAACAAGGCATACCTTTCGAAACTGCTGTTGATGGCGTAGTCTCGGATTGGCATGTTCGAGTTCGTGAGTTCAAAACCCGAGATTCACGACTTGGGGCGCCCCTAGTAGCGATGCCCTTTGTTCCTCTTAGCGAACCTTGCTCCTAGTAGCGATGCCAGGAGCCCCGAACGTAGCGTTCTTTGCAGGAAATGTTCACTTCAAGCACACGGCACAAAGAAGAACGAGCCACGATGGCCGATCAAATCTTGGAATCAGGAGAGACCCAGGGATGAGATTGCTCAAGCAAAACACATGAAGTCCATGGATGGCCAAACCAGGCGAGACAAGCCACAAAAAGAAAAGATTTCCCTACTTAATTACAATTAGCGTTTCACCATATTATGAAGGACAGTTGTTGCATCATGCATCTGCTGTGCATCTGTTTGCTGTGCTATTGAAGGAAGAAAACTTGCACCACCTTAAACTGTTTGTTGGCAAACAAAACTGCCAGAATTGAATCCGGACATCTTTGGCTCACAGTCCGAGACTCAACTCCCCTAAAGGTGGCTCACTTGGGGTGTAACATGGTATGACTAGTGCCAGGACGCATCGTTCACCCCCACCAATCAACTATAAGAATTATCGGTTTGGGGCTTTGGGTTTAGGGTTTGCGCTGTTTTTTCGCATGGAATTGTATACTGAGAACGTGATCATTGATCATTGTTAAATGTAAATGTAGATATTTAGAAATAAAATGTATCCCAATACAATCGCCAAAACCGATGACAAAGCTTCAAACGCCGAAAGTCCCTTTCGGATTGTTCTGAAAACAGGAAAGCAAAGCTGCCCCCGTCAAAATGCTTGGGGGCAAACCATGAGCCAACGTATAACAACTGCGTATCCCAGTGGATGCTGAAGTGGTAAAGATCTCGCTTTCACCCCCAAGACCTCCCTTCGCTAGTAGCCTCCTTTCTCCTAGTAGAAATGCCCTTTGCTCCTAGTAGCTTCTTGTTACTAGTAGTAAGGCCAGGAGCTACTAGTAGCATCCTTGCTCCTAGTAGAAATGCCCTTTGCTCCTAGTAGCTTTCACCCCCAAGACCTCCCTTCGCTTGTTTTTCTCATCTCTTCTCACCCCGCAGCCCGTGTGTTCAGACGACGCAAGCTCGCACGGCCGCGACATGTCTCAACCAAATCTCGCATCCGGAAGGCCTGGAAACAGCTCTTCCAGCCGATGCCCTTGTGCCCTGTCACATTCTCCCTGCCCATCTTGCTGGATGCATTCACGTCACAGAGGGCCCGCACGTCCTGGAAGCGCCCAGATTTGAGGAGCGCCGGTATTTTGGGGAGAAAAATGGTTTCAGGAAGGAAAGCGTATGAAAAACTCGATGGAGCATGCCTAAGTGATTCTTAGATGTCCCAAACAACGCCAAGCTAAAACCGCGCTGCGCTGGTCTCACCAACCCGCTGCGCTCGTCCTTGGCAGTCAAGCCGAGCTCATTGTTCACCTCGTCCACGCAAAACGTCAGTTACATGCATCTCACAGAAATGAACGGCCGACACCTTCCAAGACCTCCTACTAAGAAACAGGGGGAAGGTGCAAATTTTGTCAAGAATGAGAAGCCAAGCACATATAAGGCCTTTTTTGGACAATGTACCTTTGGAGCCTTGAGGGTTCTTTGCCCTCACGGCTCGTTCGGAAGCAGATGTGCAGGTGGCCTCCATTTGAACTTCGATGCAGGATCCGGAAACATGTCCGGAAGAAGCAAGTGGCATGCTACTGCAATCTGCCAAAGCAACGCACGATACTCGGTTTCTTTCCCATCGTCATCAATACTTGCCGTCAACTTCTGCAGGCTCCTCAAACTCCCAGTGAGAACTGCGACATGGGCTTTCGCGGCTGGCCAACCTATATACAAAGCTTCCTGCCAGTCTTGGATGGAGATATTGTCCTTCTTTGGTCGGTCGGCCACTTTCGAGAGAATCGTCGCCTGTGCATCGCTCCGAAGCTGCTGAAAGACGGGGAGCAGTTCGGGGCGCTGCACCACCAGCGGCGGATCCTTCTGGGAGCGCGTGCGCGCCACGGTCAAACGGCCCAGGTGCACAACGTCACGTTGACTGTTGAACTCGTTCTCCACGGCACAGCTGTGTCCAGCCAGCACAAAGGAGAGATGGGCAGTATGGCCCACTGAGAAGTGCCCGAGTTTTTGAACAACATCCCACATTTCTTCTGGCTCCAAGCCTCTCCTGTTCAAATATGAGAACATTGCTGTCATGCCCATTTGGCTCTTCAGGCCAGAGCGAATGCTTTCAAGGGGCACGGGAACTCTTAACTCGCCCAATCGCAGTTGCAACGATGAACCTGAGATAGACAAGGGCAGACCGCCTACGGCCACCAAAGATACCATGGGTGTCTTCACAAAGTAGCCCTCTGCATCGTAGAAGCTGGCTCCACCCAACTGAAGCAACGTTCGCAGCTTGTCAGCAGTGGTTGCCTCACGGGCACCGTCCCACCATGCGGTTTGGTCCAATACTCGAAGTCCACATGGAAGCTCCTGGACGAGAGATGGCACTGAAGTGGTCGTTGGCGGATCGGGACCATCACAAGAGCTTCCCTGACCTTTCCATGTCAGCCCTGCTCCGGCTGCGACTGCTGCTGCAACTGCTGTGTGACGTGGCGACGAACCGCGCCACACTCGTGCCAGCGACCCAAAAGGAAAGCGCATTGCTCATGTGGCCCGCAGAGCTTGCTTTCTTGAGCCAATCAATGAACAGGATGGATTTGTTGTCTGCGCGACACACGCCAGTTCTGACCACATATGTGCACAAACAGAGCTTTCGTTGGATCTGACACTGTAATCATGGCGGTATAGGGCCGCAGTGCTGCCACCTTGCTGCCAGAGTGCAGAGAAGAAGAAATAGTTCTGATTCTCGTCTTGGTGGAGCTCCATCTTCAACCAAGGGCTGGTGTCCTGGCTTCGTCTTGCAGAACCATTCACACGCCACAAGGGCAAGTGTTAACTGACAGCATCTCATGGGTCTGTAAAATTCTCCGTCCCATAGGAACAAGTGCATCGCTACTAGTAACAAGTGCCTTACTAGTAGTAACAATGTTTGCTACTAGTAACAAGTGCCTTACTAGTAGTAACAGAACTCCTCAGAACCGCACGTCTCGCCGCACAACCGTCTCGGGTCGTCTGAGACCGACGACCTGACACGCCCTGGTCGCCTCGGCATAGCCGTTATCATCCGCGTTCTGGAGCAACTCCTAACATGAAAGTCTCGCGCAGGGCTGGCGAAGCAAACGTTTCCAGCTCCGTGACCGGCAGCAATTTTGGAACCAAATGTTTTGGAAAGAGACCAAACTTGACCAAAATCGATCAGATTCTTATCAGCGATTCAGTTGTATCAACAAAATAAGTTGTCCAACGCATCAAAAGGGGATGTGTCCAAGAAAGAACTCGGCAGAACGCGGGTGACGCGGGTGTGTTCGAGGGTCAAATGGCAGATTCTTGACTTTCCCAGATGCAGCCCAAGGGTCATACACGAAGTGGCTCTCCATTTCCTCATGGACGTCATGTGTGCTACAGGTGTTGTAGATCGTTCGCTGAACTAAGTCTATGGATTCTGAAGGGAGTGACAAAACCACAAGCGCATCTGTGGAATCTGTGGCAAGCTGTCATCACCCAACAATTCAGGTTGCACTTGTCTCCACAAGAAACCCTTCAGAGACGCTCCTGATCCGAAAATCCATTCCCCCTCGTGTCAACCAAAACAAGTGACCCAAATTAAGATACAGAAAGCCGGCTCAACTGCCAATCTCAACTCCCTTGCGGTAAGGCACCATGGAAAAATCGCACCTGGCTTTGGCTTTATGGATTGGACTGCAACAACCAAAAAGCAAAAGAAAACACGACACTGCACAAGCCCCACCAGCTGCCGACTTACCCAACTGAAAAAAAAAGGAAGAAACGTCCCAAGCGCATAGAGGTCCACCGCCAAGCGCTCCACCGCCGCGCCCAGTGCACTTCGCAGGAAGCCGCCCGACGGGGACGGACATCCGATGCGATGGCGCCGGAGGGAGGCGATGAGGCCCTGCGGACCCTGAGGGACCGGGAAAGGTGCAAGAGCAAGTCCAAAGAGATCTGTGTCGTCTCAATCTAATCTATCAATCTAATCGAATCGAATCGAATCGAATCGAATCGAATCGAATCGAAGCGAAGCGAATCGAATCGAATCGAATCGAATCGAATCTATCTATCTATCTATCTGACTGTCTTTCTGTGTGTCTTTCTTTCTTCCTTTCCTTCCTTCTTTCAATACATTTCTTTCTTTCTTTCTGTCTTTCTTTCTTTCTTTCTTTCTTTCAGTCTAATACATACCGTCTAATACGCATGATACGTGTACTGGTTCTCTTTTCTGTCCTATGTCATCTAGCTTTGCTCCTGGTAGTTCACGGGGCCAGGCATGAAATTCCGCTTCCCCCTACACCACGCGCCGACCACAAACGCCAACCACGTCTCCTCCGCATCGGCACCCGACTCAGCTCGGGATTCCTCCTCTGGCAACTCCTGGGCTGCGCGACAGCAAAGCCGGTGGGACTCCACAGGCAACCGTGCAAGATAGGCCAGGTGAATTCCTATAGGGAGGCTCATTCTGACAGGGGAGTTCACACTCTTCCAAGAAGCCCGCCGTTCACGCATATTTGCGTTGGAACTGTTATCTCAAAATGGAGCGACCCCCTGTCACAAGGCGGATCTCTATACTGTTGCCAACTCGGGAGGTCCTCCTTTCCGAAAAATGCCCTAGCTACCAAGTAGGTGTACCACACATTGACATCCAACTTGACTATATATACTGTATATATAAGTGATCTCCAGACCCAGCCACTAACCTGCAGACGTGTTCACTTGCCAAAACTCGAGGACAGGACTGGACAAACAGGTCGGTTTCAAGAATGGAAACACACAAGTCGATCAAACAAGCGTCAAACAAGAGAAGTAGTGAGGGAGCTCATCACGTGGCACAAGTACGTTTGCTTGCTGCACCAAAAAGAGCCTGCTTGTCGTAGGACATACAATTTGGGCGGCCAGGTCCGGAAGAGACATCAGTCCAGGTGAGTTCAACTCTTTAAGGGCTGGGTGTTCCTCCCGCTGGAATCGGACAAGCAGTTGTGTGAGGCTTGCCTTGGTGACACACACCTCAACTTATTATGGACGGCATCCAACAAGTGTCCATTCATTGGTGAGAAAGTATGGTAGAAGGTGCAAGTTCCTGCAGTTGCAAAACTGCAATTCGGAATGTATGTCTTGCTGCCTCAAAGAACTAGCTTCCAATTGCTTCATGACAACCAGCAAAGACGATCAAAAGAATACCATCCCAGAAACGTACAAATAATCGAGGGAGTCCCTGCTATTCTCAAAGCTGGAATCAAACATGTTGATCCACATAGTTTGAACATCCGACATCCGACATCCGGCTCAACTCTCAACACAACAGAACTGCAACAGGAAAAGTACGTTCCTAGTAGCGTCGGATCGCTCCTAGTAGTAAGGCTAGGAGCCCCTAGTAGCATCCTTGCTCCTAGTAGCGATGCCAGAAGCCCCTAGTAGCTTCTTGTTCCTAGTAGCGAAAATGTTGTTGTTTGTCCTCTAAAATATCATGGAACACTCAACAATCCGCTTCCAAAGGCTCCACCCTCTTCGTACAAGTCACAGGACTCGCGACCACCGCTACACTTGGGCGCGCCGTTTCAGCAACCACCCGGCCATCCGGCAGCCGGCCCAATTCCGCGTGGAGTTCGGCCAAACGCTCCTGTGCTCCGAAAAAGAAAGTCGGTCTGCGTGGACGTCACGAGTCGGTCTGCATGTGATAGCTGGTATTCCAAAATCAAAAAAGAAAAGGAAGAACATGGCCTCATTTTGCTACCCAGCGTTGTTTTGAGTTTCTCCAGACTCCAGATGCAAAGCCAATGGCGCAGCACCGAGGAGGAACATTGAAACACATGTCAAGGGATGCAGAACGGGGTCTCCCCAAGCATGGATGCGAAGGCAGCACACCAACTTTACAAACCCTATCAAACCCTTAACAAGTGTGCCGCAATGTCCACAATCCAGCCACACAATGACAGTCCCACACTGACCACAGTCCTCATAGGCCACCCGCCGCTCTGCCCAGGGCACGGCCCTCGCGCCCGGCCCCGCCCGCGCGCCGGTGCGACACGGCTCGCCATGGAGGCGGCGGAGCGCGTCCAGGCGGAGACGCGCCTCCTGCGCAGCGACGAGGGTGGACGAACTGAGGCTCAGTCAGGTCGGGTGGTTTTGCACGGGAAAAACGATGCAGGGTCCAACATCCCAAGGTGCTAGTTGGAGTCCATCCTGAACTGGCGAAGGCAGGGGGAGTCCATCCTCCACTGGGACCGGATCAAACTAAAGCTCGGACATCGACATGAATGGAACTCCACCAATCTGACCTCAACACTTCTACAGTTATATTGACATGGTATCTTCAGCAGACATGATCGCAGTCTCAGAGCCCACAGCAAAATGTTCGTCTTGATAACCCAGTTGTACAAAACAACCTTGTGCTGGCAAAAAGATCCAGCCCATCTTTGTCATGTAGGGTGTTCAATGACTAGAACACAATTGTCACACAGCACACGCTTTCCTTACGATGAAGACTCTGGTGCCTTGCAAGCGGAACTGCACTTGCAACTTTCAACCAACCTAGTAGTACTAGGATGCCAGGAGCCCCTAGTAGCTGTGCGATTGCAGCGCGCTCCGGCATCTAGACATTTTGATGTTGGAGTCCTAGAGGCCGACAGCAGCAGCAGCAGCAGCAGCAGCAGCAGCAAATGATAAGTTCGCACAAAGGTTTTTTCCGCAAAAAAAGGAATCTTAGGACAATGTGCGAAGTGCCGAGGGTACCTCTGAAGTCGGAGGTGTCCAGCTTGCATCACGATCCGTAACGTACCGTGCCACGACATCAGCGCTCTGGATCAAACATGATCAAACCACTTCCGCTGAGCCAAACGACGCTGATCCGCCGCTGATCCCGCTGGGCGCCCACCTCGCCCCGCTGGCGCCAGAGCTCCGCGTCTTGACGGAGCTCAGTGGCTTCCAGTGCCGCACAACGACGGCCTCGATGCGCTGCCTCACCCGTGAGCTCCCAAAGAGAACGCCAAGCCTCGCATCGCCGAGGCCCGGATCGTCCGTGAGCGAACGCCCGCCCTCGTTCATGAAGCAATCACCCACTAAGGATTGCTTCTACCGCCATGGGTGGTATGAAAAATCCTTGCAGGGTCCTTTTTTCCCTTCACAATCATGAACTCCAAAAAGGGAGCCGAAACTATTTGACAGTGGCTTAGGCTTGGTTGACATTGTTCAATGAACGCGAGTAGTGAGGTGACCTGTTCAGATAGGGAGGTCCCCCAGCAATGATTTCGACCAATAGATTGAATATTCAAAAACAAACTGTCCGGTGGATAAAATAACAAATATCATATCATGTGCATTCTACCTGTCGGTTTGTGTACCAACAAGTCTTTACACATGAAATCTAGAGATAGAATATTGTTTGTACCTGTCTGAACCCACTAGAAACAGTTTTCTGTTTGGGTATCATCCCTTCGGGCGCAGACTAGATATGCCAAAAATACAAAATAAGAGCAAATTGGTATAGACTGAAATCAACAAATCGGAGAATCTAGATCTACTGTAGTATACATATCCTCGATAAAAATCAGATCAAGTAAACTTGCAAATTGAGACATATTTTAATAAAAAGACGTAGAATCTTCAGCCCGCAGTGCTAAAAGGAAGCTTGCAAATAAATTGATCATGCAAGCTACAGGTGCAAGGTGCGCAGAGCCTTCCCCTGCTTCTGCAAATTCTCAGACTCCCTGACCAACACCCTGGCCAAATCTGGCCACTAAGAAATTCTACCATATTCCCTTGTTCCTAGCAGCTTCTTGCTCCTAGTAGCGATGCCAGGAGCCCCGAACGCAGCGTCCTTGCTCCTAGTAGTATGGCCAGGAGCCCCTAGTAGCGTCCTTGTTCCACCCTTGTTCCTTTTTCAGAACAAGACCGCCCTTCCTTTTGTCTTCCCTCGTCCACGCCTGAGACGCTGCCCTCTCGCCCGATGCCTCGGCTTCAGCCTCGACCCTGAGCGTCGAACTCGCCGGGGACGGTACTGGGAAGAGCAGAATCAGTGACATGAAACCCAAAGAGATGTGGCAAAGATCTTCTGGGAGTTGGTGCTTTCCGACCCATCTAGCGGCCACAGAATCTGACCTGACCTGCATTGGCTTTGGCGTTCATGAACGCAGACAGCAAATGGTACACCGGACATACACCATGCATGGCGAGTCCAGCCTGGTCAGCGCCGAGGCAAGGCTGCGCAGAGCCTCCGGTTCGTGCGATGCACCAGCTCAGAGCTCAGGGCAGAGCGGTGTTCGGGCTCCGAAGCTGATACAACAGGGTCTATCCATTTGGGCTTGCACCTCAGCAGTTTCCAGGTTTGGCTATAATACAGTATACCAAATACACCAACATCAAACAGGCGTGGTTCGCTTTTGTGTCCAGTAGGGGTTAGAATTGACTTCCGGATCGATGGTTTGAGCCATTTGACGATGGTTCACTCCTGACTTATGCAAATACAGTATATAGGTCCTTGGGTGTAAGGAGGGGATGACTGGGATGACTAAGTATCCGAGAGAAGAGAATGAAAAGGTTTGTTGATGGAGCCTAAGTGGCCACTCACGATCGATTTCATTCGGCCCTGTTTCGTCTGTTTCGTCTGTTTCGTGGGTTTCAAACCAAGTGTTCTCGGTCCTTAAACCAACGTGTTTCTTGTTTCACCAACTCTTCCAATTCATCGCCAACTTGAAGGACCCGAAGAAAGCCATTGGCTGTTCCAAACACCACCCGCCATGGGATGCCGTCGTCTTCCCTCCACCTACCACGGCCCCACCGGAAAGCACCCACAGCGCCTGCGGATCCAAGGCCACCAGCAAAGCTTCAGGGTCTTGCGCCGCCCAGGCACGCAAGCTCTGCAACAAACTGACCAGGAGCCTCGCTCCGGAAGAACTGATGTCTCACAAGGACATCGGACCCGCCCAGAAGAAGTGGAGACCACCTTCCACACCACGTTTGAGTGTCTCCAAAGGGAAAAACCGAGAAGTGAAGTGGTAGCAGAATGTGGATGCTGCTCTGGGAGAATCCTCAAAGGCCCAGAAACAGAGACCCGGGACCCAGCATGGTATATAAGTAGACCGACATATTTCAGATTCCATGATTCCATGCTATCAAATGTTGAGTGGTCAAACCTAGGTCCCGCGATCCGCTTACTGTGGGCAAGCTTGATCAAAACCACAGACCTCAGACTCGCTCACAGTTCCTCAAAGAAGGCCTGTCGCCCCAGAAATTTGTTCGACACATCCTCCCTCCGCGCCCACGCCCAGGAGCTCTCTCTGTGGGCTGTGTGGCAAACAATCTTCACAGAAGTGGGTCTCAAAGTAGCTCAAAGGCCACAGGCCTCCCCGGTGTTCAAAGCGAGAACCGTATTCTCCACCGGAGCCTCGAAAAGCCCCTTTTGGAGGTCCCGGAACCGGCTACCTGAACTATGCCAGGATGTCTCGACTGAACGCATTGCGTTTGCCTTGCGTTTAGGGCAAGGAAGGGGGAGTCCCCTTTTCCGATCATCCACTGCAAAGTAGGCGACGTCTCCAAAGGTTCGATGGCAGGAAATCATCGGACAATCGCTGGATGAGGAAATGGCAGAATGAAGATACCTGCAGAATGATGACACGAACTGCTGATCAGAACCGGAGACCTTCGTTTTGGTGCGGTTTTTGGTCGTAAAGGACCCATGATCAGGATGAAGTCGGCTTCGGCCCTTGCTTGGCCACCGGGGCTCGCTTGGGTGGGGAAGTGACAAAAAGATCCGATGTTCTCTTCTTTCTTCTTGACTTTGTGAGGTGTTTCATTAAACAAGACTCCAAAAGCGGAGGGAAGGGTTTTTGGAGCCTCGATCCGGGCAAGGCCAGGCAAGGCCGGTGATTTCCTCCACTCTCCGACCTCCTCACCTTGGGTATCACGCAGCAGGAGCGCTTCGGGCCACTGCCGGGCCAGGCTGCGCGCCAGACCGGCGCTGCGGGTGGTGCGTTCCCCATTGCATCGGGATGGCCACCCTGCTCGGGCGGGACACGGACTGGGCATGAAATCTGCCTGAAAAACTTGCCGCTCCACCTGAGCTACTCCACCCTGAGGGAGATGCTTCACAGTCCTTCACAGAGTATCTTCCTTGGATGATAGCACGATGGTATCAACTGGTGAGGCTTGTGCCGTGCACGGACTTTTTAGAGGCTGAACTCACTTGGAGCTCCGCTGGGAAGGTTCCAAAGTCTTCAAAAATCGTTAGGGCGGAGAGTTGAAAAGAGTCTTTCAGCGTGGGTTATCTGGGTTGCTTGGAGATTCTGACATGAGTGTCTGCATGAGGACTTAGCCCACCCGTCTCCGCCTCCCAAGCATTCTCCAGTACCCGTCTCCAACACGTCGTGTGCACAGATCCAGTGCAAGGGGCTTTGCAGGCCCTTGGCACTCTGAAGCCGTATCTGCAGTCGGTGCAAGCCAGAGAGTGAGACACTGGATGCAGCAAGAAATGGGGAGGGCAGCAGTTCTCCATCATTGCCCTCATCGAATATGGCAGTCGACATGTCCTTTTCATCCATATGCCGTATTCGAGCTGCTGGAGGAGTACTCAGTACTCTTTGGACCTTTTTGGCTTCACATCCTTGTCAGGGTTATCCCATCTTCGAACGGCTTGGGCGTCTTTGATGAGTCCTGATCAAAAAGTCATTGAAGGTTTTGGGTTTCAGAACAGCTCTGGGACAACTCTTCGGGTTTCAACTGCAAGTATTGTCAGAATGGACTACAATCAGTTACCAAATGCCTCCATAGCCTCTGCAGATTCAAACCCTCTTCCAACCCCAATCAGCGAGCAAAAAACACCAAGGCTAGCTCCCCCAACGCCTGGCTCTTTTGGATGCGAGCCTTTTTGGGCCTGATCACAGTCCAAGGTCTCACGGTCCAAAACAACTTCTGGATCCATGTCTCTCGACATGGAGATCTATCTTTGACTCGATCCACCTGTCCATTGAGATCACGACTCGCTTACGTCATCGCCGACCGTTGAGACGTCTGTGGACCCGATGTTTGCAGCTGAGACTCTGCGGCTTAGTCCTTCCGGTCGTGGTCTCCTACAGTCGGAGAAGACTCTCGGTCGATGCGAGGGAAAACGGTCCGGTCAAGGTCTCTCAAACACCGACAGCGGACCGCATGGGGAACGTTGACAGAATCCCTAACGTCTTCGGAAAGTTTTCTGTCTTCACCGCACTGCGCAGTGCTGAAGACAGCCGAAGTCTTCGGTCCCAGCGATCGGTCGTTCCACCGATCCCGCTCGCTGCGTCGTCCCCCGGTTGGCGCCTCGGGGCCTTCGGATTTGGGCCTCATGTCGGCCACCAGCGGCCAAAAGCCGGTTGAAGCACAGGCGACCAACGAGACCCGTTTCATCCGAACTCCTCAAGACCTGACTGTACGAGGCCTCATTGTGTGACTTCTAGACCCCATATGTCCAATTGGCCTGTCACCCATTTTCCCCGGTTTTCCTCCATCTTCCCTGGGGTCTCCGAGCAGTGTCAGGAGAGTGCACTGGCCGAACTCCTCATGCACGAGGGGCCGGAGGAGACTCTGCCGTTTGCCATCCTGCGAGGTGAGACGCCGCAGTTCGTGAGATTTCCAGCAACAAGCAAATCCACTTAGAACACTAACTTCGTTGGCGAATCGACTTGATCCACCCTTAACTCTGGACGAAACAACGATGACTGGCGAATCGACTCACCCAAACACGTGACCCATGGACCATGCACTTCCCACTTCCATCCACTTGCCCACACTTGCCTCGCTGGCACTTAATGCCCAGTGAAGAGACCGGAGCACGGAAGGCGTGCAATCTGCGCACAAACCGAGCGTCCGGAGTTGGTTCTTCGGGCTTCGCGCTGGATCGGGCTGGTTAACAAGAAGCTACGAACGGAGCTCCTGGCATCTAGGAGGAAGGACGCTACGTTCGGGGCTCCTGGCCGTACTACTAGGAGCAAGTAGCTACTAGAAAATACTAGAAAGAGCTGCTTGGCCCGAAAGACGCTCGAACACGCTTCCAACGACTGATGGTTACAGTCGAAACCGACAGCCGAATCAGACATGGTCCATGATGGTTGCAGCCACGCCGATCGAATTCGATGGATCAAAGGAGGCAAGTATCGAATGACTCTCTCCAGCCAACATCCCAAGACACACCTCGTTCTGCCACACCAAAGACCGGCCATGCGGTTCGGCTTCTTGAGTCTTCTCTGGAGGAAAGTCTACGAGGTGTTTTCTGCCACACTGGGCTGCTTCTCCTTAAGCTACGCGAAGCTTGCGGCGTGACCCGAGCACCCAACGGCCTCGCAGCGCCATGACAAGCAAACTCTCCTAGTGACGGGCCCATGGCTAAATCTCCAAGCGGCAAAAGTCTAGTAGAGGGTATAGCCACCCTCTTTTGAGATAATGGGCACCATGAAGCAAAATGTCTAGATTCTAGATGCATGGATGACCAATTGATGGTTGGCTCTTTAGCAGATGTATCCAATGTCACAATGTACTCTTGTTCTGCTATGGAAATTGTAGGTTCTCTAGCCCTCAAAGAAGGCTAACTCTACATCTGGATGGCTAGAAATCTATGGACTCGCAACCGATGGGGTTCCCGGCTCAGTGATCTACAGTCTGCACCTTCTTGCTCGGAGCTTCCTAGATAGAGCCCCCTCTTGCACACCTGGTGCTGGCCCATGTGCCTTTGAAGCCTATTTCTACAGCTGCGGAAGGACAATGGAAGCGAAGCGACATCGTGCTCTGCGCATTTCTTGCCTTTTAGTCTGCAAGGCCAGTTAAACCCAACCCAAAGGGTCCAGTTGCCCAAGATTCTTCATCAGAGTGCTCAGAGGATCGTCGACTGGTCCGACTGCACGATCGCGCAAACCTCCGGGAATGTGACTGTGTCATCTCCACATCATGCATATTGTTGGCTTCCTTGTGAAGTGGCCCTGGTCCCGCTGACTGACTGGATATGGGTATCCCGCATACTTACCATCCACACCATCCAGTCATCGTGATTCAGATCTTGCAGTATGCCGATCTTCAAGTTCAGTTTAACGTTAAAAGGTCATACAAAACCCTCTAGCTCACCATGGCGCGGCTGCTCTGATGCAAACAAGAAATCCCACCAAAACCGTCGGTGCCCGCCCAAATTCCCGGCGGCCCGGGCCCAGGGTTGACAGAGCGCACGGCAAAAGGGTGGGATCAGTCCAGCCGGGACCTGGGATCAGAAGTCCGGCGAACCCGCTGATGGAGTGGAAGTCCAGGCAACCCCGAATGTTGGTCAATCTATTTTGTCTGCTTGGAAGAGGACACAAAAGTTCTTCAATCCCTTTAAAAGCCACTCTGTTGACCAAATATAGGTCAGGAGCCTCACCAAGATGGCTTGTGTTGTCACGGCCCAAGTTGATGGATTTCAGGTCAACAAATGTGAACTTAACATAAATCCAGATCTTCCAATCTTCCTGGCTCGAAGAGCTACAAACCAAGGATCCACACCCAAAGCCAGCTGCCAGCCACGCCCAGGAGACTTTCAGAAAAAGGCCTGACCAGTCTCTTCCCCAAAAGGATCCAGTTGCCATTGACTAGATGAGGAACCAAAGGGAACATGGATTCCGAGAGCTACCGACTGGTTACCTACTATGGTGGTAACTGGATCCACTGGGTTATGGATCCAAACACAAATCGGATCTGGTTTTAATCCATGTCTTCCGCAATTTGGGACACCTGAAAGTTGTGCATCAAATTTGGGATGATTCAGACAAGGACACCAAGTGAACACCTGAAGATGACACGAATAATTCTGCACAAGGATGCTCACCCAGAAAATGGCCGTCCATGCTCAATGTGGTTCCTTATGCAGCAAGTGCCAATGGTCCTAGCTCGTTGCTGTCCCTAGATGAAACCTTGCCAAAGTGGTTCCAGTAGCACATGGTCTAGGGCAGTATTGATGCTCAGAATGAGGAATGCCAGAAAAACCAGAGCTAGTGCAGAACGAAAAGCTCCAAGCCATCCCCACAAGAAACAAAAGCACTTTTGGAGTCTGCCAATCTTCCAATTGAGACCAAGCAGGATACAAATGCCATACTTCACAACCCTTCCGACGACGCCTCTCACAGTTCCACCGCTCGCTGCCAAACAGTAATCCAGCATCTTTCCGCTTGGCCTAAAGTGCAGAGTCAGACGAAGTCGTCGAAAACGGACGAAACCACCGTTCACGCTTGGTTTTGCTCTCGTTGAAACGCTTGAGCGCTCAACACGGTCCGCGTCGGCTAGCCATCCGAGGAGGACCACCAGATGTCACCACCGAAGGACGCACATCGCACGAGCGGGAAGCACGTGGCATGAGTCACCGACTGCAAAAGAAAACATGGGTAAACCAGCAGCAGTTCGACCAATTGTCAGGTTTCTATGCATGTCTGCCGTCAGCAGTAAGCTCCAGGAGCGGCAATATCCACAGTCTGTCTCGTCCACATGGGCTTGAGCCCAGACTGGGCCGTGGAGAGGAGCACTACATCTCCAACACATTGGCTGTGAGATGCTTGAGACACACCCTGAAAGGGCTGTGGATTGAGGTGATTGGACCAGTTACTGTAGAAATCTGTAGAAGGGGGTCTTGAAGTGATGGTGCACGCAGATAGCGGTCCGCACCACCCAGCCCTCTGAGACCCCCCTTCTCTCACCTTGCAGAAGACCGCAGGCCAAAAGACTCTAGCGGGCACCTGCGCAGTGGCGGGCCCACCGGACCAGATTCTCCCACTCAAGTCCTTTGAAAAACGCCAATACTTCCAAGGGCACAGACTGAATAGGAATAGGTGATGCTCTTCAAGGCCTCGAGAAGAAGACAGAACTTCACCAATAGAAAATCCCACGAGCTCATCCTACTCTTTGTCTTCACCCAAATAGAGCTTTACTATGAATTAGTAGCAAGAAGCTACGAACGTAGCAAGGTGCCTATTACTAGTAGTGAAGCCTGGTCTCCACCATCTTCCCGAGCGGATGGCGTCCGTCCCGTCGCACCAGCTCTAAGCCCCGGAGCTCCGCCGTCTTCACCAGGGAGCACCAGCCTCGGACTGAGCTGTCTGACCACGGAGGGCGTCATGCAAGTTGCTAAGACTACAAGATTTTGTCAGGAAATCATTGAAGCAAACCGCACAGCTTTGAGAGGTTGTCCAAAAAGAAGTAGAGAGAAACACATAGCACGAGGCGACTCTCCCAGTGTGGTGGTTTCGTGGGATTCCAAGGGCCACCCGTCAAGAAGCATGCCGTCTCTTTTTTGCGCCACCTTTGCTTTGAAGGTGCAATCTATGTGATACCAAGGGCCTCCGGCAGCCTCTGGGCAAGCTTCCTGACTTCTGGAGATAGGTGTCAAAAGGTTGCAAACGCTCTTGTTGCTTTGAGCGATCCGGATGAGGCCAACCACTGTTGCCCAGAAGTATAAACTGTCTTCAACGGATGCAGTCAAGATACTCCTTTTACGAAGTTATTACACGTCTGGTTTCCTGTTCACCAAATGGCATCTCCTTATCCAAACTCTGGCAAAAGACAGCGGGGGTGTCGGTCAACCCAACCGTGGAATCTGAGGGCATGAAGCATGGAAGCTCTTCTCTTTTGCAAGAGAAATGACAACTGAGGTGTGTCAAGGTGTATCCTGAACGGGTCAACATATCCTGTCTCCAAATGACGGACGGCCCGACCTTCGGCGGAAATGAACCACCGAAGGTCGGTGGCCCCAGCCTGGTCCAGCCTGGATGCTTCCTTTCACGGATGTGCCGACTCAAAAGGCTCAATAGGTGTTTCTTCACGTGCTCACCCCACGCTGGTCTTCTCCACCGGTCTGAAAGCGTCACTTCTCCACTGCGAGCTCAGCAGCCTGGAAGCGCCCAACCACACAAAGCCATCCTCTCTCTCTGGAGGTATCAGCATGTGTTCAACGAAAAGCAGTGCCTTGGACGACTGGAGACTAGAATGACTAGTGACTCGAAAACGAGCTACAAAGCTTTCGGACTGGTCCTGGGAGTACAGGCTGGCTCATCCCACACGACCATGAACCTATCCGACTTGGAGACAGCCTACTCCATGTGGAGCCCCAAAGAAGACGGGTTCGACGGTTCGACGGTTCGATGACCACGCCGACAGGGTGAGGAAGTGGACGGAGTCCAGGCCGAGTCAAAACTGCCCCACCTGCCCAACCCGCTGAAGCCCTGTGACCTCCAAAGATTCACTGCAAGCGTCATGAAAGATGGCCACAGGGAAACAGCTTCGGCTTGGACAGCAGAAAGAGGTCGGTCACCCAGTTGAATTCCCTCAATCTCCCGTGCGCCTTGTCTGGATTGTCCCCCGCCGGTTTCAGAGCTTCGGCCTCCAACTCAGCCTCCAACTCACGAAGTCGTTCGGCGTCATTCAGTGTGGAACTCGTGGTGAACGAACTTGAGGGCAATCCCAGGATCCCCCTAAAGGATCCCCCCCAAGGGATCCCCAGGGGGCTGGGGTCGTTGCTTTTGGTGTTTCGCTTCACGGATGCCTAGTGGATTGGACTTGGACCTGAGGCTTTCCGGATTGACTTCCTTTCAAATTGGTCATCAGGCCGTTGCACGGCACCCGGCCTCCTCGTTGCTCACGTGCTGCCCGGCTGCCAGATCAGCGTTTAAGGCTCTGGCAGGGACACTGAACTTGGGATGGCACCAGCGTCGAACCTCGAGGGCCATGGGATTCTTGCTGGTAAACCTCGCTTCAGTGGTTCAGCCCGTGCCCCCAGCATCCCAAGTCTATTTTTTGAAGGTCAACGTCTGTTGAAGAGAGGGTCCCCTCCACATGTCACCCCAGTTTCTTGGGTCTTCGACACCACGGCTCACTTGGAGAAGTATCCTAGCAAAGAGACTGCAAAAAATGGAGAAAGTTGCTTTTCGCTCGCGACGACCTGTCCAACCTGTCCAACATGTCCGGGTCTCCATGGTGTCGGATGAATGAATCCCTGAAATGTTCAAATGTCATGAGCCCATCTGCCCAAGCCCTTACAATCCACCTCACCCCAAGAACCATGCTCGGGGGTGATTCACATTTGGAGAATTCAGAATGTAAGAAACAGAAACGAATGGCTGTTGATTCAATGTGTGTTGACCAAGTGGTGCCGAAGCACCCTGGTGATTTAAATGGCAAACAAACAAAGAAGACATGGAATATATTGAAGTACTGAGCACTCCTCGATGCATTCAGCTGCGGAACCCAGTCGTCCATGGACAAAGCTTCTCCATCTGGATCTGATCCCGGCACCGCCTCGCGATCGCGCAAGTAGTCCAACCTGACGGAAGAGCGGCGATCGCGGCTCAGACTGCCACATGGTGCCGGCCGAGGGGTCCACGGGTCAGATGTCGAGGTCGAACCAATCGGAATGGAACCGCGCGAGCACATCTGAACCGACCACCTGATGGTGAGTCCGAGAGCGAGCTCGAGATTCTTCCTTTGAGCTTTCGGAGTCGATGCTTCTTTGAGTCTGTGCATCACAGAAGTATGCTGGCAAAGAAAACTCACGAGCCTAGCCGAGCACTTCAACTTATGCTTGCCTTGGGAGGCGGGAGGATGCGGGAGGAAGCACATCATCCCGGTCAGCTGGTTCAGTCGAATCATGTCTCACGCAAAGGAGAGAAGTGGATGGAGAAGGTCACAAGTGGTTACATTCAGTTTCACTACCTGAAGCTCCACGTGTGCTGTGAAAAAAGCCACTGCTGATAGCGTTGAAGCAAGAAAGTGGTGGTGGCATGTGTTTCTTGCTAAACAGCAGTGTCCCGCTGCCTCCTTGTCTTTAAACTCCCTGTGCTTGCAAAAACTTTACGCTAGCCCTTCAACACTCTGACCCAAGTTGTCGAAGAGGAACACAGAACAAAGATTCAAGAAAGTGGCGTGAAAGGGGATTGCTACAAGTACAACCATGTATGAATTGACCCTCTGCACCCAGTGCAGTCTGGTGCACCGTAGCCCCAGGTACAGGTCTTGCCCGGCAGGCGCGGGTCACCTGCGAACGGGTTCCGTTGGGCGGCTGGAGCAGTTGGAGCGGTTGGGCACTGAAGATGGGAGAGTAATGGAAAGTGCCTGAGCTTCGTTGTTCTGAGATTCCAACAAAACATCGCATTTTTATGCCTGATCTCGAGGTGTCGCACCCATGTCGCAATCGTGTCAAGAGAACAACAACAAAGGTTGGTTGAGTGAGTCCAGGTGGGGCTGGGTGAGGGCAAATCCAACAAACGCGTTTCCACAGAATTGAGGTGACAGTGTCGGAAACGCGCGCCACGCCGGCCAGCCACACCTTGACTTTTAGTCTGACGTAGATCCACACATCCAGGAGGGCCCCCATCGTCAGTCCTGGGTGAGGTTCTTCCATACGCCACAAAGTCTCTCATCGAAATAAACGAAAGAATTCGACCCGGTCGCCGTCGTAGCGGTGCAGCTTCCATGTTCTTGGTGTTCCTGGAGGCCATCGCTACTAGGCTGGAGGCCATCCCTAGTAGGTTGGAGGCCATGGCTTTTTCGTTTATGTAACTTGAATTGATAGGCCAAGACTTGCTCGGACTGCGATCGACGACGAAGGAAAAACTGATCGTCTCCACTACCTGATCCACATCTTCTGCCGGGCCAAGTACGTACTCACTCCGCAGATTGTTTCGCTGAAAAATAAGTCAAGCAAAGCCCGAAGAAGACAAATAGTATAACGACCAGAATCAACATCAAATCCATAACGCTGGTCAGAACTTCAGGGGCATTAGCCAAGAGAAACAATACGTACAATCTTAATGTAGTCTAATTTCGGCGTTTTGTTCACAACACAGCTCATCCAGTCTTTACATCACAAAACATGAGCGTTCTGGTAAATCAGCACATCCAAAACACAAGATTATCTCCCTGATACATGGCCCAACTGTCCGCTTTGATCACGACCGAGCATCAGCTGCTCCGCGTTCAAGCGGCCCTGTGCGGCCAAGCACTGCGCGGCGCTCAAGCCCTGCAGCTCGGCACGTCTGAACCTCGCGAGGAACGTCTGATGGGTCAAGACACCAGAAAAAGCCTTGGTTGAACCATGTTGGACCTACCAGCCAGGTCAACTTACCAGGGTTTGGAGCTCCAGGTTTTGACCCATCCCCATTCTGATGTCGACTTCGTGGTGGAAAAAAGAAGGCGGTTTCGGCGGTGTCTGCGGAGATGTTGGACGACCTAACTCGGCGAAAAGCTCATGCAGCAACCGTCTATCTAGATTGAAGCAACAGTCTTCCCCGAGTCTTCCCCCGCTTCGTGGACTGAAAATGTTATATAGAAGATCCAAGTAGGGCCAGGATCCTAGGGGGGTTGATTGATCAACCGTCAGCATTTAACACGTCGGTGACTGCGGCGGGAATCCTAAGAAAAAGAACACGTAGACGTGAAAGTCCTTCCTCCATGGAGGAGTAGTTGTAACCCGCACCCACTTTTCTCTGGGTTCTGAAAGATTCCGCAGCTTCCAAACTGGCAAATAGTGGTTTGGGGTGCTTCAAGCACCCACCTTATTGTTGCCGACAGTGATTGCCATGGCTTTTTGCTCCTAGTAGCGATGCCAGGAGCCCCTAGTAGCGTCCTAGGGTACACTGTTTAAACAAAGGGGCTTGGACTTATCATGGAAATACAACCGTTGCGACCACTTGACGCGCCACGGAAAGCGGCCGCCGCCACGTGGAAACGGGAGTGCACGGGAAACCCCTCGGAAGTGCATCAAAAACAACGTCTTGTCCCAACAGCAATAACAACCGTCTCCAAGGCGCATGTATTTGGAGCACAGGGGTGCCAGCTCGGCCATCCTGGCGAATAGTGGGCCTCTGATCTCATTAACTCAGAGAACCAGGATTCTTTTGCAATCTACACCATATGACATCGCCCACGTCACTTGTTCTGTGTAGTCAAAAATCAGCTCTTGTTCACACATCGTTCGCGTGTTTTGCCAGCAGCCGGTTCCTCGTTTGCCTGGCCATTTCGGCCAGTTCGGCCATTTCTCTTCGCTGCCCAAAACCAGCGAAGTGTCCGCCTCTCCTAAAGGTAAAAGAGTTGAATAAAAAAGGTAAGAAAGTTACACTTCTGGAGGTACCCCTCCATTTTTGATGGTTAAAGGGGTAAATGTGTTCGTTCGATCCAACATCAGGCTGACTTCCACTTGCGGATCCAACAACTCTTGGGCTCCAGACCGTCGCGACCGTCACTACCGAAGGGCCTGGCATTCATCACTTCGTTCAACTCTTTCCGTTGGCCAGGAATGACCTCCTTTGCGTGCTGGATCGCCTCCAGACCTGGGGCACTTCACTCACCAACCGTGACGCAAGCCCGTCGTTGGGGTCGTTGCGTTCGAAGCAACGCATAGGACCGAGCCAATGTGTGTGTGTGTGTGTCGTCTTTTCGGTTGCAGCAAACGACTAATCCAATCGCACTCAACAAATTGCTCTCTTCTTCAATCAGTCCTAGGGCCTTTCTGATCGTTTCAAGACCCAACCTCAAAGATCTGAATAAATGGAGATCTTTGAGGGTCTACCGATCCAAGATCCTCCCACACTGCCTTAATTGTCCAGGCGACCGCGGGCGGCAGAGCGATTCACCGACGCCACACTACTTTGCGCCGTGAAAGCGGTGGGAACCTGGCGAAAACGGCGGTTGAACAACCCCCACACTCCAAGGAGGTGCAGTAAAACAAGTTGAGGAAAGTAGAGTTCATCACTAGTAGGTTGGAGGCCATCCCTATTGGGTAGGAGGCCATCACAAGTAAGTTGGAGGCCATCGCTAGTAGGTTGGAGGCCAGCGCTAATAGGTTGGAGGCCTGCGCTAATAGGTTGGAGGCCATCGCCAGTATAGGTTGGAAGTCATGGCTATTATATATAGGTTGCAGGCCGGCGCTACTAGGTTGGAGGCCATCGCTAGTAGGTTGGAGGCCAGCACTAGTAGCTTGGAGGCCATTGCTAGTAGGTTGGAGGCCATCGCCAGTAGGTTGGAGGGCAGGGCTAGTAGGTTGGAGGCTGGCGCTAGTAGGTTGGAGGCCATCGCTAGTAGGTTGGAGGCCATCGCTAGTTGGTTGGAGGCCATCGCAACTAAGTTGGAGGCCATCGCTATTAGGTTGGAGGCTATCGCTAGTAGGTTGGAGGCCATTGCAACTAAGTTGGAGGCCATCGCTATTAGGTTGGAGGCCATCGCTAGTAGGTTGGAGGCCATTGCAACTAAGTTGGAGGCCATCGCTATTAGGTTGGAGGCCATCGCCACTAGGTTGGAGGCCATTACGATGTTGCATTGTGCTGTCTCTTTCTACTTTTCTCTCTCGCCAAGCGGTGCAGCTCAGAAACCCAGAGAAACTCTTCGATAGCCTCGCGTGGGCTGGCCTCAGCTGTGGACCCGTTTTGTTTCGTTTGGAGTTTTGGAGGACTATGACTACGAAAGCTGTGCAAGGCCGCCGATGTTGCATCATGCGGCCAAGTGGCCAAGGGTTGAAGAAAGACCAAACAAGCATGCAAATGAAAGAGGACAAAGCAAAAGAAGGAGCACAGCAAACCCAAAGGTACACCACAAGAGCTAAGCAGAGCCAACAAGAACCGACAATTGGCCTGCAGGGGCCAGACTTGGATTCTGCACTCATTTGCAATGGGGCTGCCTACCACATGCAAGCGACAGGCAATAACTCCACCTAGCCGCTTAGCATCGAGTCACCTCATGTGGACGATCTATGGCAAGACCTCAATGCCAACACCTCAATGCCCACTTCACAGGAGGTTTTTGGAATGCACACTCATACCTTCACCTTCCAAAAAAAATACTCCAATCTCCAGTGCGTGTGTTGTTTCTTTCGAATTTCCAACTGATGGCCAGTTCTTTTTCCACCACTAATTATGAAATCAACTAAGTCCCACAAAAGCTGCTTGACAACGCAAATCCTTCAGGTCTTGATGATGGACGTACCGCATTGGTTCAAGAAAGGGGATAGGTATGATCGATCCGATTTTAACCTGAACTGCATGATGTCTTCCCAACCAGCTTGCCGACTCATTCCCACTCCTCCAAGTGGCCATCGCCGGCCTCGGATGGGCGATCCCAAGAACTGGTTTTGGCTCTGCATCGTTCAGTGAACATGAAAGTGACTACGACTTGGACAGCTGCTGCAGGTCCTTCGGTTTCTTAGGATCTTTGCTCTGGCCATTGCCCAAAGATGCTGAACCGTGTGGGGTGCATCGACCGATCCGGCGCGGTTCGCGGTTCGCGGGAAGTCGCCCTGCAATCAAGACTCTGTAAGGTGCTAAGCCCATGTGGCCTGGCAAGAAAGTGGCTCTTTTCTCTTGATAGAAAACAGTAAAGGTATGAATCGCACAAGGATCAAAGAGTATCCCGGAACGAACTCCTTATGCATAGGACCAATTGCTGCTTTGTAGAGCCCCAGGCTTTATGGAACCTCCACACTCAAGCAACCTCTCGACAACCTAGGCAAACTACTCCCCAACTCTTGGTCAAGCGAGTCGTCACTTGAAGCACCGACCAAATGATTCAAAAGACTTGTGACGCCAGGCTTTTTGAGTGGGATGGTCGCGTCGCATGGGTACCAGCGCGCGACCAGCACCAAAAAAGCAGCGCGCGACACATTTTGAAGCGGAAGCCTGATGAATCTGGAGTCCCAGTCCTCGCAGCCCCAAGGACCAAAATGGGCGAATCAACGAAGCCAAAGAGTGCTTGGATTCCGGATGGAAACAGACGGAGGGAATCCCATCCCGACCTGGTTTGCAGGTCTGTTCGCCCAGCCTACCCATGCGTTTGCTGGGAACCCTTCAAGTTGTGACAGTGACAAACCCTGTGTTTACTTATTTGTGTGTGAGTGAGTGTGTGTGTGTGTGTGTCTGTGCTGTATATTTACTATTGTGTAGAATCACTGGTCAAATAGATCAAAAAGCGAAGCGTGGCAGAAAATAGAGCACTCCTGAAGCCATTGGATCATCTCTTCAATTCTGAAAAATGCTTGAAGACTGGGCTTGGTACATCAAATCAATGGAACCATCTCCAATCCATTTCTTGTGCACGCGTCTTTCCGTCGACTACCAGTCCTGTGAGACCTCTTGGAGCGAAACCCGCGTGCCCATGACGAGTTTCGCCGTGTCTTTCCAACGGCGTTCTTTAGACACCTGCTGAGTTCCGCATGTGGAACCAGTTCAGTTTTAACACACAGAATGTGCACCTAAACAGTCTGCTACTCATGTGGCTCCTGAGTTTTCAGGAAATCAATCTCTATGCCAAACAACATGCGCTGGATGCGTCAGCCCCGTAGAGGACTGAGATCAGAGGCGCTGAGCTAGGGTTGTAATTGATCGCAGCGTGCACTGACGTGGTTGTATTTCAGAGCAATGAGTGTCCAAGAGTCTTGTCTTCAGGCTCCAAAGAAGCTAATAGGTTGGAGGCCATCGCTACTAGTAACAAGAAACCATTAGTAGCTCGGGCATCGCTACTGGTAACAAGGCTTCATCATACCAACTTCTGTTGATCAAGCTTTGCTGCCTAACCTGCGACGAAGCTGCAGAAGCTTTGGGCGTCCGGACGGCGTGGTGTAAAAAAACATGCTTCACCAAAAGGTTTGAGGTGTGGGTAGTGGCACCGAGAAGAATTTATTATGATCAGAGCCCTTGACTGTTGAGGATGTAAACTTCTTGAGATGGTTCCTTGGAACCCCAGCCAGCAGCGTGCGACCATCACTCACCCAAGCCATTCCCCACATAAGGCACAGTACAGGGGCACATACTGCTGGGCATGAAGAACTTCTTTCAAGTGCCAATTTTGTGAAATGTCACTATGATACCTGTTTCATGTCTTCCAATTCAACGCCAGTCCAAGAAACCCTCTAGCAGCATGATGTTCAATCACACACACATTACCCCACGAGCAACATAGGGGCCATGAGTGAGTTACTACATGGATCTAGATTTCCGCCAGGACAATCTCCAGATCAACTTTGGAAAACCCTGTTCTTTTGGGGCACACCTTTCAAACATGGCTACATTCAAACTCACACCCAAACGAAAGCCATACAAAGAACCTCTTGAGTGCTTATGCAAGTGCTCCAAACAAACCTAGTGTCTGTGTACCAGGCTTAACTTTCTAGGGTCACAGCCCACTTCTACAGGCGCGCGGAAACCAGAACTGAGTTCCCAACACATGGTCGCAAGGAGTATGGAGAAGCCACATACAGCCAACCGCCCGGTGATCGGGAGCAACTGGCCGAGTTCAGGCATTTTCCGAAAGCGAAAATGGAGGAAACGTGCTGACTGTCAAGTCTAGTAACCATTTTTTCCCCAAACAGTGCGGTAACACTTGGGGTTCTTACGGTAGGAGTTAAGGGCCGCTGTTGAGTCGAGGTGTTGCATCAGGGCGTCCGGCCAACTCGTTGCTATTTACAGCACATTCACGCCTCTCGAAGTCCTCGAAATGCATTTCGACTGCGCTGGGCTGGCGCAGGTGCTCTTCGAGACTGCGCTCGTTGTGGTGCCGTGCGCATTTTCGGGCATGGTGGTCACTTTTCGTGGCACGCGCACGGGAAACCTCGTGCTTTGGTGGTCTTGCAACAGGCACAAGGGATCGGAGCGGTTTTACTTCGATGTGTAGATTTCGTGGCAGGCGCAGCACTTTGGACATGGTGGTAATCTTCGACGTGCTCTGATTTTGTGACAGGTGCGGTGAATCGTGACTTTTGCACATGTGGTTCGTTTTCGGAAATTGTGGCGGGCGCAGTACTTTGTGGACCTTGAAGTGCAGATTTCGTGGCAGGTGCAGTACTTTGTGGACCTTGAAGAGCAGATTTCGTGACATTTCGTGGCATCGTGTGGCAAGTGCGGTAGCAACTTTTGTGGCAGGTGCATTACCTTGTGGACCTTGAAGTGCAGATTTCGTGGCAGGTGCAATAGTTCGTGGACCTTGAAGTGCAGATTTCGTGGCCGGTGCGGGACTTTGAGCACCGTGAAGTGCAACTTTTGTGGCAGGTGCTTGAAGTACAGATTGCACAGGTGCAGTGCAGATTTCGTGGCAAACGCAGTACTTTGTGGACCTTCCCAGCTTGAACCCCCATCCACCACCATCACCACCATCACCACCCACCACCATCACCACCAATCACCACCACCACCCACCACCATCATCACCACCATCTTCACCATCACTATCACCATCACCATCACCACCACCACCACCACCCCACCACGATCTCCACCTTCATCACCACCATCACCTCTCTGGACCCCAATGCGTCTATATAGATCTCTAGACTTTCTGCTGCCTCTAGACGTCAAACACACTGTTTGGTGTCTATTGCTGGGATAATTCTTGGATGGACCCCATGATATACCGCAAAAGGATTGCAAAAAGACACCAACATGCACCACCATTCATCTGCTTTGTGATGTTGCTGTATAACTATTGGTGAAGGATTCTTCCGTACCACTTGAGCAAGATTCCTTCCATCAAAAGTCGGAAAAGAACGGGGGCTTGTTCGGCTTGAAGTTTCTCGTGTCTCATTCATTGTGCGTTCCATAGTTTTGGGTCAGCCCTCAAGGAAATAGCTTTGGGCACACTTGGAGGCATGCAGTGATTTTCCTTGGAGGCCTAAAGGCGATCCTCTTCTCGGGGTTAAAAAAAGACAGGCTGAGTGGCACTTTGCACTGCTTTGTGATCAGCAAGCAATTGGCAGGGTATGAGAAATATCAGCTACAGATAGAGAAAACAAAGAGGGTAGGTCTCTCTTTTGGAAGAAACTGACTCTCTCTCACCCTGGCTCACCCCCATTTTCGAGAATTATTGGAATCGATTGCAGCGGCACAACGACGCTCACTTCTTCTTTCCTTCACCCCCTTTTTGCCCTCTTTCTTGAGAGAGAGAGAGAGGGAGATAGGGACTGTGATGGGAAATAACAGGATAAACAAGCAAATGTAAGTCTAAAGTCTAGCGCTGACATTGGAGCAGGAAAAAAGGTTGATGTGTGTTTGCATCTCCTCATGCCACAAACTCCTCCATGTTGCAGGCTTTCTGCATGGGAGCATGCGCGCAAAAGGCTCTAAATTGAGTCAGAACGCAAGCGGCAAAATGGAGAGCTGCAATATCTTCAAACAATACCCCTATAGAGGACCCCAAAATGAAGACATTTACGACTGAAATCTTGGTTGTGGAGGGGCTTTCCCTAAAGTAAGGGACAGATCAATGAAACGTTCAAGACTGTCTCCGACGCTACGCAGCGCAGTCGCCTCACTGCAAGCGGCAGCCAGAAGGCATAGGCATGCCACACAGGAAACTCCGTGCAACAGCTCCGCCTGCCATTCGGCGAAGATGAAAGGGAGCTTCATTGGCCCTCAAGGCGGATCATAGAACACAAATCGCTGAGAGCTGTTGGAAAAGCAAAGGTACGAAACAAAATGCAAAAAAATAAAACAAGGTACCAGGACGTTCACGGTTCCGCACCCAACTGTAAGCTGCACCCATTTGGACATGCGATTCCATGCGTTGGTAACACGATAGGGAGACCCCTGGCCCTGGCTGGGCAGACTGGTCTATTTCCCTTCTTCCAGATGGTCCGAACGCCTGGGAAGTCTGCCTATTTTTTAAAACACCCATGTTGAATTTCCAGCCTTGATGTAAAATGCCGCAGATTATCTTAGGCATCATGACCCTTGGATGAATGAACAAGGCCATTGACACCACCTGAATCCGAAATTTCAAGAAGCGTTGACAGCTAGCACCATATTTTCACAGAGATGCGGTCAAAAGACCAGGGAGAGTTGGTGAAAATGCGTTGAACTGTTAATTCGACCTTTGGGCACTCAGGGAGAGGTGCGTTTAAGCACACATCCGCGGGTCCCCCAAACAAACAAAGCTGAACAATAAAAGCAATAAACAAAACTGAACCCCCAAACGAACCCAACGAACCCCAGAACTTGCTGCCAAAAAAAGGAAATTCTCAAGAAGAGGGATGAACCTTCAGCTCTTAAGCTCTGTCCAAAACGGAGGTTTTATTGCTCAAAGCAGGCGCCTGCATGGTCACTCGGGCCATCTCCAGCCATTCTTCAAGGCTCGATGGCCTGGGTTCTCTCAGCTGTTCATCGGTTCCCGAAACGAATTTAGACATGACTCACCGGGAAAAAAGAAAACCAAAGAAGAAGGACAAGAAGGACAGAGTTGGCTCTGGCGTATATTAGCAAATCGACTTGGCTCTGTCCCTTGTGAAGCGATCTATTCAAAAAAGTTATCCTTCGCTGCCCTTCGTCTCCTCACCAAGCGACTCCCTGCGCAAATGCAGCAAGAATATGATCAGCAAAAGGATCCTCAGGCAGACGAAGAGATCACCAAAAAATGGCAATCAAACACCCACCCACTTTGGTCACTCTGTGCTCATACAGTGCTCTGTGGCAAACCACAAGGCAAAAAGTTAGCTTGAACAGAAACACGTGAAGCGTGTAGATGCAAACAACCAAAGTAACCAAATCAAGTAAAACCAGCTCCTTTAGGCCAAAAGGCAATTAGAAACACAACCTTGCTTTGCACCAGGCAAGTAGCTGCCTCTCAACCCCCCAAACACCTAGGAATCAACTATGCTCTCAGAGATCTACTTGTTCTGCATCCGGTTCGCTCCTTCCTCACACAGATCTGGGCTGGATTTGAATCCTCTTGTCCTGTTCTGCAAAAGAGCCTCATGCCCACACTCGAATTCCTGGCATTCTGATAGACTGTGATAGACTGCCTCACCTTCCATCAGCTTGGTGACACTTCAAAATGGCGGCTTGGAAATCACCTCCTACACATGTTCATGTTTGTTGGTGTCTGGCACATCGTTTCTTTTTTCGTCTGAATGGATTGACCTTGCGCGTCTTCTGCGGGGCACGCCGCATCCAAATGCCTTACTACAATCGCCTTCAGAAGAGGCTACCTGGACTTTTCCGCTTAGGCTACGACTTAAGACACCGGAGTCAGCTGCTAAGACACCGGTGTCGAGAGGCACCCGCAAGGCTGCGACACCGGACTGAACGCTGAACCTTTGGCTACCAGTTCTTTGGTCAAGTCGCTGCGGTTGCTTACTGCCAACCCCCTCACCGCTACTTGCCCCCTCACCACTACTTGCTACTTTCTCTCTGGGTGTATATCTAGAAACTGAACATCTGCTCGTGCAAAGGTCCAAATGTCCCACCCTCTGGAAATCTCAGGATCCAACACCACCTTCAAAGGCGATAAAGCCAGAAAGAAACACTTGATGAGCCTCCAACATGCAGGCAGGGAGATGTACCCCGCACCATGCAACACCACACTGTCATGCATCAAACGGAATGAATGCATCAACATAAGGAAACGTAAGGGGCAGGGTGAAATTGAATTGTTGTGTGTTCTTTTCGCATGCACGTTTCGCAAATGGCCAGGCATTTCAGAAACCTTCGGCATATGCCGAAACAGTTGGCAAGCAGCAGCAGATTGAAGCACACAAGTGTGTGTGTGTGTGTGTGTGTGTGAATATGCAAAGGGAGACTGTGCCACTATGCAGGAGGAGGGCGTCAAGCCAGTGTGTGAACTTCCAAACTCGAATGACATGGACAAAAAGTTCAAGTCGGCAAAAAGGGCAGTGGAGCATCATACAGGACGGACAAGTTCCAAAGCTGTTGACACTCAGCCAAGCCCTGCCAAATCCCTGCCTGAACGCTCGCCTTCGCAATCTGGGCGGCCCATTCATGTACAGTCACTACTTGGGCAGTCAAAAGCGACATAAAATAATGCACCGCACTTCTTGCACTTTGCTAGAGCTGTTTGGTCACGCAGTGGCCTCATTGGCCTGCAAATGGTTAAGTGGAAATGACGCACTGAAACAAATGTCCTGCTTTGGCATCTAAACTTGAATCTAGCGAGTCTAAGAATGGACTTGGGGAGCTAGAATGGCTAGAATTGAACCAGCTCGGTTCAGCGGCGGCCACCGTTCGACAGCATTCAAAACACAGATCACCAGAACACAACATACCCTTGGCCCTCAACCAACCTATTTTACTTGCAAAGGAGAGGTTGGCTCAGCATAAGGCAGGGAACATTTCCCGCAAAGATCTTGGCAAGACCTGTAACCAGTCCAGATACAAAAGTCACTACAATTTCAAAACTTGGCATCCTTCGCATCCTCGGACCTCGCAATTTCCCCCTAGCCCAACATATGGATATGATACAACAGGGTGGTCTGCGCAGCCTGCAACCACTCAAGTCCGATGGACTTGGAGCTAAAGCTATATAATCTAGAGGTGGTTGTTCTGGCGCCCTTTTGATCCTGACTGATACCGGCCAGCCAGATACTTGTGACAATACGTGCATCGCATGCCGCCCACCCCCCTTCTAATGCAATCATGCTGCGTGATATCTCTGAAAACACACAGGCAAACCAAGAAAAACCAACAAAGAAAAATCAATGAAAACAACTATCGTTTCCAGGTCAGGGGCTTCCAGTTACTGTCGTTCTGTATGTCTTGTGGATGTTTGTCATAGTCATGCGGTGGTTTGGACAGGAGGAGCCTCCTTGCTGTCCTTGAGAGCTCATTCAAGAGCTTGGGTCAAAGATAAGGTTTGTGGTACGGCCCGGTTGCTCCCAGTGAGTATCTAGCTGGCCGTATTCTTGGAAGGGTTGTGTAGCCGTCCCACAACGGCACACCCTTCTTTGCTGCTCTCGATCGCGGCCATTGCTTAAACGGGTCTATTGCGCCTGCCACCTCCTTGGGCTCCGCTCCCATGCAAGCAGTCTCCACAGCCTACGATCACTCAAGTCCCACGGACTTGGAGCTAAAGCTATATAAAGGTGGTTCAACGACCTCCATGATAGCCCTGGTGCTCTTTTGATCCATTCGCTGACTGATAGCGGCCACACAAATATCTGTCACAATGCGTGCATTCCGTATATCAGCGTGCGGGGGGCAATCCTGGCTAATAAAGGTCCTATTTTGCCATCAAAGCATGATGTTATCGCAATGAAATCATGGGACCTTCCACAACAAACTGTTAGCCTAAGGACCGTCTCAGGACCACATCAAAACTCCTCCATCCACTGCCTGACTCTACGCTTCTCACAGTCAGAATTCATCAATATACAAGTTACAGTGTCTATCCGCCTATCCTTGCACCACATTTCGATCATTGACGTCTTGACTCTTAAGCAAGGTCCAAAACACGCCAAGCAAACCTTCAGCTCCTTTTGCTGTTGCTCTGCGGATGAAAACGCCTTCTGGCAAGAACTTGCCGTTACAAAGGTCAGTGGTCTTGTCATGCTGTTGCTACTAAGACGTGACTTGAGTATGTCGAATGGCAGCAACACCAGAGACTTTCATCTGCTCATCAAATTGCATGACATCAGTTCCCCGACCCTCTTTACCAGAGATGAGACAGTCAAAGGATGCGACGACCACTCGGTTTTTCAGGTCAACATCGAGAATCGCATCCACCTCATAGTTTTTCGCCATCCGTAGCCAACTCTTCTTGAATGCAAGAACCTCATCAGCACCTCGAGCACCAAACATGGAGGCATTGGCAGCTACCAGCTCTTCATGCACGGCAAACTCAGCAAAGTAATCAGCTTTCAGCCATCTTAAGGCCTGCGTGCGGGGACGTTGACAATGCTTCAAAGCAAACGCAAACAATTGGAAACCTTTCTTGCCAAATAAAACAGTAGATTTCTTTGGACATGAAATTCAATAAACGCCACAATGGTTGCTCTGTGTAGCGCTCTGTCATACCATTTTCCACTTCCCATTTGCATCGTCCTGCCTTTCCAAGCATTGCACTGTCGTCTACTCCAGGGTCACACGCAGGCATCGGCATAGGCTCTGGCTTCGGGGTCCACATCAGAGATTGTCCATCCATGAATGAAACTAACACTGAAGGAGGAGACAAACAGGACACCCTGAGCGTTCTCAAAGGGACAGCAGACAAAGCCGTATGTGCCGCGATAAGCAATTCGATGGCAGACGACATGAGACCGGCCGCCCTTCACAAGACAACCCAGTCCACATGCAACATGTCTGCATTGAACAGTCACAGTGTGTTTAAAGTTTGAAGTGTGAAAAACACACGACATACTCGGAACGCTGTATTCTTTGTTCATGGACGGGTTCGCATGAGACATGATGTTCCAAAAGTGTGATTTTTGCAAAAATGCTGACCTGTAGCCAATGCAAGACCACCTCCGAAATGTGATGTCCATCATGGAATGCAAGAAACAACTAGCCAAACCTCCTTTGTTTCACGTCAATCTGGGAAGCGATCTGAATGTCCTTGAGCAATGAATCAACCTGCATACGTCAGTTGCCTCTCCAAATGTTGGTTTCAAAACCAAAATAGCATCAAGACATTGATGTTGCATCAACGCCCGGAAACACAACCTACAAACAACATAAATCACCTTGGATCACAACCACTCATCCAAACACAAATTTTACAACCAAATCATCAGCATGAAAAGCTGACCCTTGTCAGAAAATCACACAAACATTTTTTGCTAGAATTTCTTTGCGCAAACACAAATGCGTAAAAAAGGACCCCGCTTCACTGTCCCTGCACGGTCGTTGCAACTTACACTCGTACCAAAATGCACGTTCTCCGCGACTTCCCATAAACGTAAGGTCGTCGGTCCAAAATGGGATGCACATGAGCGAAAGTGAGCACACAAAACCAGCAAGGAACTGCATTATCCCGGCAAGAGACCCCAAACAGTGTGTGTGAGGTCTGTAACCAGAAAGTCCAGAGATCTAGACGCGCTGGGGTCCAGAGAGGTGAGTGAGTGAGTGAGTGAGTGAGTGAGTGAGTGAGTGAGGGAGGGAGGGAGGGAGGGAGGGAGGGAGGGAGGGAGGGAGTGAGTGAGCGAGTGAGTGAGTGAGCTGCACTTGTCGGTTGACGCTTGTCACTCTGCCTAACCCAGCCGTCGAAAGAGGACGGCCTCAGAGATTCCCCAATGTTGGATGTAAAAAGGTTGCGTTGATAAGTGCGCAAACGAAACGACAACTGTGACGGTCGATTCAGTGTTGCTTGCAGTTTATTGATTGCATTGCAACTTGAATAGTTCATTTGTTTTCTCGCATGTGCACGGGTGCATTCCAAGTTAGTGCATTGTCGCGCATATGAATAAGTAGGCGATTCGCAAGGCAAGCCATCTGTAAGATAAGCAATAAAAAACAAGATTTTTAGAAAGCGTTGCTTAAGTTTATACGCATGTATCTCTAGGTCTTGCACGTATGTGTGAGTATGTGCATGTGGCATCACCCCTCTGAAAAGACTACAGCTATAGAAGCAGTCGCGGGATTTTCATTCCCTCTCCACTCCACAACGGTGAGAAAAGATCCGGTTGTAGTGGCGGCAACCGGAATGTCAGCTCGACTGAAGCTATAGGCATTACAGCTGCGAGGGCAGCAAACAGTATGCGCAGCTCCATCTCAACTGAAGCGGGGTATCGCGAAAAATGTTTTGGCGCACGTTTGTTTTCAAACATGTAGATGACATAAACAACGTGCGATGCCGGTTTGGCCAGTTTAGCTGACTTAGCGACAACTACCACAACCTAGTTTACAAACAGAACAACCAGGTCCGCGTAAGCTCGCTAAACTGGTCCCTGGCAAGTTGGCTAAATGAGTTTACACATTTGAGCCAACCATGACGCAACCGAGCCAAGGTCAACCTTAAACTAGCAATATAGTTACAACCAGGTATGGTCATCCAAGTCACTCACTCACTCCCTCACTCCCTCACTCCCTCACTCCTTCGCTCACTCACTCACTCACTCAGGCTCGAATGGCACAAATGAGTGCGGAGGCTGCTGAGGACACGAAGTGGCCTCCACAGGGAGTGGAGGATGGGCAGAAAATGAAGTAACAACCAAAGGCATTAACGACATGCGAAGTGATGTCAAACGCATGTGCTTGCAACGTGATGCACAGGCTAGGCATATGGACATCGAACTGCAGGAAGGACTATGGGCACAAAGAGGGAACGAAGTGTCACGATTCCCAGAGCGACGAGGCAGTGAATCACCCCGCAACCCGACTGTCCTCGCCCATCAACATCTTGAAGATGAGTTGACAAGTGCGAAAGAGTGATGCTGTTGGCACTCACAACCACGCGCACCAGTGCCACGAATCTGCAAGACTACTTTCATGCTGCCGGCAAGCAAGCGAATGCCGAAACCGCAGTCAAAGCAGCCATAACTCAGAGCCATCGACCTTGCCAGCATTCGCTTGATGAGTCCAAACCGTTCGACCGTTATTCAGGCTCAGATGTTGATCTGTTGCATGTTCTTGAAGTTCGCATTGCGTTGCAAACATTCATGCAATTTGACAGGACATCGCATGTTGTCGATTGCAGGTTTGACATGTTAAATTTTCACTTTTGCCCACCCTCCACTCCCTGTGGAGGTGGCGATTTGCCAAGTATCTGGCACTCGGCTGCACAGCTGAGAGGCTCGTGTACCTCTTGTAAAACTCGCGCACTGGTGGGCAGCATGATACTCCACTGGCGCTGATCGTTCTGCTGCACTCTGCGCTTGGTGAAAATCCAGAGGGCTGTCAGGGTTTGTGGCTGCACAGCCAAGGCCATCAACACTCCCTCAGGTGGAAACAAGTCAACCCGCGATAGGCTGCGGTATTTTTTTTGCACGAGTCGAGGCGCTATGTGTGCAGGTTCTGCACAAGTCACCTTGGTCGAGTTAAGAAGGAGTTACTATACAGGTTGCAATCCAAACAGAAGAAACAAAAAAAACCCAACCAAAACAACCAAAACACAAAAACCCCAAGAAGAGGGAAGCAACCTGTTGCGCAACTCGTGTGGCCATGGAGGCCGTATGAGAAGAGGTGAGACAGGGGCAATGAATTCCGCAAAACTCTCAGTACATCTTGTCCCTCAACAAACTGATTAGTACTTGCCTAGTTCATGGCAAAGCCAGGAACTTTGAGATAGTAACGGGGCAAATCGAAACCTCCCTCAGCAGGTACTAGTTATGTACTTGCAATGCACTTGAAAGGCATGAAGGGCATCAGGCGTCGTGTAAGTGTTAGCCGACAAGGGGTCCCTATGGACAAACTGGGACAAACTGGATGTCGGCTGAGTGGACTTGCTACACACAATGACCTGGGGCTCAAGGTTTGGCATAATGTGGCAATTCGAGGAAGACCACTGCACTTGCTAACGGGATCTCCAAAATGCCGAAAGAAAAGGAGCAGTGTGAAAGCCACCATGCAGTGATACGCTGGAAAGCAGCGTGTCCCAATCCTCCCCCCAAGGGGGGAGGAGGCAAGAGGGGGAGTGTCGATCCCGCACAGACTCCAAAACGGCTTGGCAACGCGAGTAATGCGAGAGACGCTCCCTATGGACAGCGAAGGCGTAGCATACCCTTCAAAGGCGCAGCAGTCAAGCACATGGTAACAATTCTCTGTAGTGGCCAGGCAGATCGGCCAACACGTGCACAGCCAAACACCGTTTTCCTATAACTGTACACTATACCCATCCAGTGCCGCTACGCGGGTAGCAGCCTGGGCACTGCCTAGCTACTTAGGCTAGCAAGTTTGGAGGGCAAGACGTTGTGGCACTCTCAGGACCAACACACAGGTGCCAGCCTGAGAGGTGTTGGACAATGTGCTTGCGTAATCTGCCTGCTGAACTTGAGCTGGTGAATGGCATAGGGCAGGCATAAGGCAGGTCGATGCCAGGTTGATGCCAGAGTTGGTGGCAGTTAGTGGCAGGGCTTTCCTGTTGGTCCTGTAGTTGTCATGGTCATGGTCATGGGCGCGTTACAAAAACGTTTGCAAGAAAGTGGCTTTGATGGACAGCGATCTAGTCAGGGTACTGCTTTGCTATTGTGATGGCAACGTGTGCTCTAGAAAGGTGGCCTCTAACATAGTCAGGGCCAGCACACGGGTGCCAGCTGAAGGGCTCGGCAGCATGCATCTTTAGACACTTAAAACTGACTTGGTATTGCATAGGAGTCATCTGTCCATTTGTCCTCGTCTTTTCGATTAAGTGGCAGAAGACGAACCCACTTCGGCATGTCAAGGTTGTCACACTTGAGGAAAGCATTTGCTCTGGAGTATGTTCCCCTCCATGTCAGGCTTTTTCCCACTCTTTGAAATTGGCAGAGCTGTGTGCAGCCGGCGAAGGCACGTCTGGCAATATATAGCAGCGTGGGTGGGACACTGACCTCTTTCAAGGAGGTGCACTTGAGAAAGGCTTCCTGCTCAATTCTCCGAAGTTTATGCGGAAGCCTTAGGTGCTGCAAGTGTTTACAGTGTGCAAAGGCAGAACCCATAATCTCAGTAACCTCTGTACATGTGAGATCAACTCGCTGCAGTTGCAGACATCGTTCACAGGCCGCAAGTCCAATCCATGTAAAATCTGGAGGCAGGGACAGCGACACGATTCCAGCCTCAAGGAAGCAGCATTCAGGTAAACATCTGGAAGTACCGGACCGGTCATGATCGGGATGTCCCAGCTCGAGGTGCCGCAACGCAGTGCATTTTTCGAAGGCCCTAGGCATCAACTCTGCCTGGGGCTAGTTGGTTGGTCGTATCACTGTTGACTCCAATTTGCGTTAAGGAGCAACATTCTTCCACAGCTTGGGTTCCACCCTGTTTGCAGCCTGGAGCAAGTACCGTGCGGAGAGCATACCATCTGCGGAAGACTCGGGTTTGCAGGCAGATCACTGTGCTTGAGAGATGCAGAATTTGGAGGCGCTGGCAGTTTCGCCAAGCAGCCTCTCCTATGATGCGAATGCCTGCGTCAACCTGCACACGCCGAACCTCCGTGATGTACGAGAAAGCTTGTGGCAGAATTCTATCTGTGGTGTGATACCGGACTCGAATGGCTTTAGCATCACCTTTCATCTGTCCCTTATGTTCGGCTTCTGCAGAACATGGACACGAGATGACAGTAAAGCAATTATTGTTTCGTAGGGTGTTCCAGATTGGGTCCACTAATTTTCGATGAGTGTCACGGCAGACA